GAGAAAATCGTTGGTAAAGTCAAAACTTGTCAAAATCCATACTCGACTCGTTACTCTTGATTTGAATGCGTTTTCGGATAAAATAGTATATGTTGTTCGGTGTAAAAGTGAGTTTATATGGATAAGCTGAATTGTTTGCCTCACTACGTTCGGCTTCGCCATGTAAACTTCCACTTTTACGACTTCTACCAACACAGGGTACTATTATACAGATCCACAAAAAAATTAAAATTATGTTAATTTTGTACAACAAATCATAAAATACAAATCTAATCCACAAAAATTACACTCTATAAATAAATCTTCAAGAATCCTAGAAGTAACTGAGAGAAAAACTTAGATGGAAACAAAGAAATTTAGAAAAAAAGTACAGTACGTTGGAAATGGTGCAGTCGGTAGGATATTTTATGGGGGAACTTTTATTTCAAAAGTTGGAGGTTTTAATCAACATTTTTACATAGAGAAAGTTTTGTTTTCTCCTATCTTTTTTTTTTAAAGAAAAGCAGGCAAATCTTTTTAAGAAATTCTGTATCAATTAGAGGCATAAATACTCTTTTTAAGCAATTATAAGCAATTCAACAACGATTAAATAGTTTTTTGCTTTATTTTTTTTTTAATTTGAATTGGTGCGATTTTATAATTATTAGCAGCATGAAAAACTAGTTTTTTGCTAAAAAATGTTTCTGAACTCTTGTTTTTGCTCTTATGGGCTTAAGTTCTCTTATTATGATTAGAATTAAAGAAAAATTGCTAACTTGTGGACATTTTTGCCGGAAGCAGAATTTTATGTCGCTGCGCCACTTCGTCTCCGGTCAGTGTTTCTGCCAAAATCCAATTTATTTAAAATCTTATTTTTGCATTGCTACGTTTTATGCACTTTTGGATCTCTATAAGTGCATTTCGATTTATTTAGAAATTTTCAATTTCTCGATTTTTGAAAGAAAATTGGTCGATTTTCGATACCTGGAGCGGTCTACAGCAAATAACTCCGGAACTATTATCAATAATTATTTATGTTCGATAAAATACTTTTAATTTTTCATCTTATCAAAAAATTTCACTGTTCTGTAATAAATAGTTATTGAGAAAATCGCTAGAAAAGCACAACTAGTGAAAATCCATACTCGACTATCTTCTAAACTATTAGGAATTTTGCAGTTTTCTCGACGCCAATCAACACCCCCGAACTTTTTACATACGCATAGTTCAAAACATTTCACTATTTTCAATATATTTTAGCCAGAATTTACAAAATAAAAATCAAATTATAATAGACATTTCGAAAACAGTCGAAGCGTTGTGGATGCTTCAATAAAACATTTTGTTACTATAACAAAACGAGTTAACGAGTTTTAAGATGTCTGGATTGATAAAAAAGTCATTTAGTTTTAGTAGTCATAAAGTACCAAAATAATGTATTATTGGAGTGCAAATGCGATTTATGGCTAGAGACGAGAATTCAAAGTGTAAAAATTTTGTGGTGGTTGAAAACAATTTATTTTGGAGAAGTTTATATCGCTTATTTAAAGTTGTGTGTAATTTGTTTCCGTTATTAAAATTAAATACAGAAAAAACATAATTTACAGACATGCAACAAAAAAATGTGTAATAATATGAGAAAAAGAGCATGCAAGAGGTAATTAGGAATAAAATATACAAAATAAAATTATTTATAAACTAGAATAATTAAAAATAAACTAGAACAGTTTTATTTTACGATAACTGAAGCCAGTTTATATTTTGGTAATGTAATAGTAACAAAACTAGTGCACACGTTATATACAGCAAACTACCTAAATATTTTTTTCAGTGTAAACCAAGCTTTATTCCTTTATTTTTTTCAAATAGATTCTTATGTTGTGCCTTTCTAAACATATCTTTAGCCCAAAAGTTGTTCACATTAATGTGACCCAAACTTGAAACTTTATTTCGAAAATTAAGCTCCATTTACATTCTTGATTTGCATATCCATAAGTAAACGTAAAAATTAAAACATTTCCAACAGCGTGAAACCCAGAAAGCTTAATTTTGTAATACATAAAGCCAAAATTTACACTTTCGTAACGTAACTATGTATAGAAAAAAATCAATAAAGCTCTTCTTTGTGTTTTATGTTTGAAGTAAATAAAAGACTTTTTCTAAACCAAGCTTTATTTTTTTTAAGTAATTCTTGTGTTGCGTGTGTGTATAAACGTACTTTAACTGCACAATTTCACACATCAATCTAAGACTTTAACGTGGAAATAAAGCACTTTTTACACTCTTACACGTCGGTGAATGCAAAGAAACTTTAAGAATTATACAAGTGACTTTTACGTTATTAAGTTTCGTATAAGTAGACCTTTATTTTGGCATTTATCCCAAAAAGCCATAGTTTAGGTACACTTTTGTAACGTAAAAGTGTACAGAACATAATAAAATAACCTTCTCTTCAAGCAAATTAAATATTTCTCTTTAAACCAAGCTTTATTTTCTTATTTTTATGTTGCGTGTATGTGTAAGTAAACGTACTTTAACTGTACAATTTTACACATCGACTCCATGCAAACCTAAGACTTTAGCATCACAATAAAGCTTGTTTTACACTCTTACACGTCGGTGAACGCACAAAAAGTATCGTATAAATAGACCTTTAGTTGGGTATTTACCTTTTGCGAAATATGTTTGAAAATCAAATTTTTACGTAACACAATAAACGTGAAAAATTTGAAATTCGTTAATTAACGTAGCATATAAAGCCATAGTTTACACTTTCGTAACGTAATAGTATACAAAAAATAATAAATAAAGCTCCTCTTTATGTTTTACATTTGTAGCAAATAACACATTTTTTTCCTAAACAAAGCTTTTTTTAAGTAATTTGTATGTTAAGAGTGTGAACATACCTTAATTTTAGACATTAGCATAAAAATAAAGCTCTTTTCACACTCTCATACGTCGATGAACGCAGAAAAAGTTTAAGATTTTTATAAGTGCCGTTTACGTTATCACTTATTAAGTATATTATAAATTGATTTTTAGTTAGGCATTTACGTTTTTAAAAATATATTCGAAAACCAAATTTTTACGTAACTCAATAACCGTAAAAAATTTGTTAATTAAAGTATTTCCAACAGCGTGAATCGTAAAAAGTTTAATTTTATGACAAATAAAGCCAGAGTTTACACTTTCGTAACGGAACAGAGTGCAGTAACTAATATTGTTTTTGTTTTATATTTGAAGCAAATAAAAAAATTTTCTAAACCAAGCTTTATTTCCCTTTTAAAACCAATTCGTATGTTGCGTGTGTAAAGATACCTTAACTTTAGGCTTTAACATGAAAATAAAGCTCTTTTTACACTTTCATAAATCGGTGAACACAAAAAAAACTTTATGATTTAAACAAGTGCCATTTACGTTATTACTTATTAAGTAACATATAAATAGACCTTTAGTTGAATATTTACGTTTTGAGAAACATGTTCAAAAATCAAATTTCTACGTAACATAACGTATCGAAAAATTTTAGTTCTTTGTAAAGCAATCACTCAATTATTTTCGAGTTTATTTTGGATTATTGTAACAAGAACACTAAATTTAAAAAGTAGTTGTTCTCTAAAACTTAAAAAAATAAAAAGTGACCAAACTGTTGTTCACAGTAAGATGAAAAGAGTTATAGGAATTGTGTGAAAAATGGGAATAAAAACCTTGTCAATTTTTGAATCTTTTTGTATTAATTTTGAATTATTCGAAATTTTAAATGTAACAAGCAAAATCTGAAAGTAGTGTTATATTTTTCACTATTAAAAAAACTATATATACTTTTATATTTTTATTTTTTTTAATTCTTATTCATATTTAAGAGCAAATATTCTTTGCGTAATATCACAATTTTCAGTTTCATACTTTGTAATCCTGAATCTTCTTACAGCTAATTCCGGATTACTACTTGACATAGCTTCGCTTCCAATTTGCTTTAAGTAGGCAACTGCATCATTAAATACATTTACAAAATCCATAATAAGACAATCCTGAGAAAAGGTGTCATTGTTAGCTATTTATTAATTAAATAAAATTAATAAAATAAACCTTGTTACAAAAAAAAAAACAAATACAAACGGTGTGACATGTAATAAATAGTATTTTACATCACAGGTAGAGAAGAGATTTTTTTATAGCCGAGCTGTTTATATAATAATAAATGCGAGGTTCTACCGTGTTTTATATAATATTTTTTTCACTACTAGCACATTTATTACTCAGAAATACAACGGTGAAAAATATAACCCTACTTAATGGACATGTTGCCTCAGACGTAACATGTCGTAATTCACAACTACAATTTTGTTCATTTACTATCACCTACAGTAATTAATTACTTACCTGAGTTATTAACTAAAGTTGGAAGTATTATTTTATTCTTATCATAAATCGAGGTTATGTTACATCTGCAACTGTTAAAGGAATTTTCTAACTTCATTGCATGAAATATTTGTTAAAATAACAAAGAAATTGCAAAAAAAAAGGAAAAAAAATGTTCTTTTGACAGTTTTGACTTAGACAAAAGGATTAGAGTTGGGGTTATTTTGATGTTTTTACTGATTTTGCATTAATTTCATCTCGAAATACTTCCGTTATTTATAATTGAATAAAATATTTCCATCATATTTTTTAATTAACTTCCCCATTTTTGCTCATGTTTTCGAGGCTATTTTATAGGTCAAAAGAACGAACTTTTTCACATTCACAGTGACATAAAATCTCGATTACTCCCGTCCATAAAACTAGATTTTATCGAAACACCCCAATCTTGGTGGTCACACATGCATCTGCGACTTTATTTGCCACAACTGCAAGTTTTATCAGAATCAAAAATTCATTGCATATAAAACTAAGTCTGTAATTAATGTTAAACAGTTTCAAAAAACAACACTTATGCAAATTGACTTGTTAATTTCTGACTGCATCTTGAGCTTAAAAGCATGTTTGAAATGAGAATTTAATGTGGTGCTTGTTTGCAGCTGTCTAAACAGAGCCGACTTAATACGAGTATACGACGGAAAAACATCAGCCGATCCCGCCATTAGAGTCCTATGTAATGAAGGTACCGAATTAGAAGTCTTATCAACTGGATCAGACCTCCTCATTGAATTCGTTGCAAATTCCGATTGGCCTGGGCAAGGGTTTAAAGCAAGCTTCCAATTTCAACCAATGGAAGATAACTCGATAGGCAAGTATCTACCAAATTCTATTAAAATTAATCTCAAACCTAAAACAATTTGCGGCTACAATGTCGCCTTGCGATACTAGCGCCATCTACCTTACAGTAGCTCAACAATTTTCAATATTTATACCCCCATTTCACTTTCATCATGTTTTGCATTTTAATACAAGGCGCTAATCTATTAAAATTGCAAATAAAAAATGCACAGTTTATTATGCCGCCATGAAGGGTTGTTAGAAACTTATTACAAAACTTATTAAAACTCCTTTATTGCTTCGTTAAAGAACTATTATCTCTGAAATTGCTTTAATGGAAGGGTTCTTTTGGTGTTTTCGTGTGTTTTTTACCCTTGTTATTGATCGAGCGATTGCAGCGCCTAGTCGAGACCCAAACCGGTTTACAGATTTCTGTTTTAGTAGGAAACTGTACTTTTTACAGATTCCAGTCGACTCAATCGTCCAGGGAGCTTGTCACTACCGCCAGACATTGAACCAAACGTTAGCGAAACTAGTAAGTTTTTATTATCGCACATCATTCTCAAACTTATACAAAAGGGTTATTTTGATGAAAACTTTCTAAGATCTTTGCAATAACGTTTTTATTGAGACGAAACTTTATTGGGAGATCTTAGAAACTGGCAAAATAAACATTCAAAGGAAAATACTTTTCAGCAATAACAACGCGAAAAAAACGCGCTAGGTTATGCCCTCCAGGCAAGTTTTTTGTTACACACACTTAGTTTATTTTAGTACCACTAGATACAACCCAGTAGATTTTTTCATAAAAGTGATATTAAGTTGCAATTTCGACAATTACATTTCAGGTTTTGCGTAAATTATTATGTCGAAGTTTGGAAATTTTTCAAAATTATTAAAAAGAAAGTTTGAGATAACAATTTTCATACTGTTATATAATTCTTTTAGGATATTTTTAATGAAAAGCTTATACTATTAATTTTTTGAAAAAAGTACCAAAAAAATGTGACGCTTCTTGATAAATTTTATAAAGATTTTGTTTACTTTTTGGGTCTTGAAAAATTTTTGAGTTATTAAATGGCAACCCACTATTAAACTTTTTTACAAAAGTTATGATCTAAAAATTACAACTGTCTACGTTTAATTTAATTTTTATCAAAAAAAATTATGTAAATTGCCATTTTGAAAAATAATCGTGGAACACAAATAGCACTTTAATTTTTATTACCTAATTATTATTTTCTGAAAGCAAAATGTTTAAAAAAACGCTTGGTTCTATACTTTTTGTGCACCTTGTATTTATTTTCCATTTTAGTTTTTTTTTTTTGTTAATATTTGGATTTTTTTATTGTGAATTTCTGTTTGATATGTTTGCAAATATCTGAAAAGTTCTGGAGATTTTCAGGGACTTACAAGAAACTCAAGTAGTTTCGATAAACTATTTTTGAGTTTGGACTTAAAATATCAAAATTTTTCTGAAAATCTTCATGATTGCACTCTGCTTTAAACTTTTTGTACTGTTTTTTTAGTTTTTTTTCAGTTTATGAAAAAGTTTGGATATTACAAAAAAAAAATGTTTGAGATAAACAATTTTTAAATTCTATACCACTTTTTTGTTTAGTTTTTGGGTCTTGCAAAATTTTTGACTTTTTAAATGGCATCCCACTATAAGATTTTTTACAAAAACTTTGATCTAAGAATAACAACTGCTTACGTTTTATTTAATTGTTATTAAAAAAAAATTATGTAAATTGCCTTTTTGAAAAATACTCGCGTAATTCAAATAGCACTTTAATTTTTATTAATTTTTATTTTAAGAAAACAAAATGGTTCTCCACCTTATATTTATTTTCCATTTTAGATTTTTATTTATTAATATTTGGACTTTTTGTTGTACATTTCTG